GTTCACCCGGATCCCGAAGTCCGAAGATCACGGAAGTATTGCGGATGTATTTGAGGATGGAGAACCGATGAATCCAGGCAAGCCTTTGGTGCTTGGTCGCAGATCATATATCGATGACATCCTGATCCCCGCTAATAGTTGGGATCAGCTTTGTGACCGAGTGAGGCATGTGATAAATGGAACTTGTCGATCAGCGTGGTTAAAAGTTTCTGGGGGATGCCCAAGGTGGAGTACCTTGGACATAGGGTCTCACACAATGGACTGGAGGCGAATCCGAAAGATCTGTCTGCACTAACTGATCTAGCCTTCCCAGGATCACTCAGAGCCATGCAATCATTTCTGGGGAGTCTGAACTACTATAGCCGATTTATCGAAGACTATGCGATCTACGCGTCGGTTTTGTACGAATTGCGGGAAATCGACTTTGTTGCGATGGCGAAGGAGGCTACCCAAGAGCGGATCCAACAAGTACTGGAGGCAGAAGGCGCAGATCCAAGATCACAGGAAGATCGGAACGTTGATCACCAAAGAACTCTGGATCCGGAGGCGCCTGATCCTACCGAGGTGGGTCCGCGCTGGATCCATGCCCATCGGTCCTTCAACGTGCTTAAAACCAGGATTGCTACAACTCCGATCTTACGACATTTTGACCCAGATCGAAAGGTCACAGTGGTGGTGTACGCTAGCGACTGGGCTATCTCGGGGGGCCTTGATGCAGGAATACCCTACCCCGTAACGTTTGCGAGCCGCACTCTGAAGTTGAATGAGTTAAACTATGGCATCGCGGAGAAGGAAGTGCTAGCCCTTCTGAGGATCCTGGCTCTATATTACAATACGTTGGTTGGGCGTCCGATCCATGTACTAACCCGACATTCGACATTGGCGTGGCTTTTCAGATCCACGGCTTTGCAAGGACGTCTGGGGCAATGGGCGGCTCTGTTGTCGCCTTGGACGCTGGAGATTACTAAGTGTGTCAAAGGAGAGGACGAGATCTTGGGAGCACTGGCAGCCAGTATCACCCCTAGATCAGAAGCGGATAAGGCGTTGATCTCAATTGCCCCCAAAAGCTAAGACGTAAGATCCAAGCTCCGATTCCCATGATCAGACGAGATGAGGAACTATATGTCTTCAGTTTCGATGGATCAGCCCGTGTCAAGAGAGGTGGAGGCGCCTACAGAGCGATCTTGTGGAAGCTGCCCGAATGGAGAGTGTTGAAAGTTAGATCGGGGTATGCCGAAGGCTTGACGGTGAATGAAGCGGAATACCATGGTCTGCTACTATGTCTGGATCTGTTGGAAGATCTGGATCCACAGCGTCTGGTGATCTGCGGAGACTCAAACCTGGTGATCCGACAAGTACGAGGAGAGATCGATTGTAAGGCGCCAGGCCTGACCTTTTTACGTCAACGAGCCTTGGATCGATTACGTACATGGCCAGATCATGAACTATTGCACGTCAAACGAGACTGGAATGGGAGTGCCGACAGCCTAGCAGGTGCTGCTCTACAGCGGCAATGTGGGATCGAGATAGAGTCTGATGCGGAGATCCAGGATCTCATGACTTTGAATAGGCTAGATGAGATCCTGATAGTGAAAGTCGAAGAAGAGGTCCTACGAATATCAGCGGTGACAACCCGATCCAAGGCTAGATCGGGGATACGTGTGGGATCTGATCCAGACTCCTTACGAGAGGAAGTTGTGAGAGAGCTACGGATCGAGCGGATCCGACAAGCGCAAGACGAGGAGTCGTGGATCATGTTAGAGTATGACGCAGAAATCCAAGATCTCATAACACTAAATAGGTTGGATGAGATCCTGATAGTGAAAGTCGAAGAAGAAACTACACGGGTATCAGCGGTGACGACCCGATCTAAGGCTAGATCGGGGGTACGTGTGCGATCTGATCCAGATTCCCTACGAGAGGAAGTCGTGAGAGAGCTACGGATCGAGCGGATCCGGATCGAGCGGATCCGACAAGCGCAGGACGAGGAGTCGTGGATCATGGGTTTGAAAAAGTATCTGATCGGAGGGATCCGAGATCTGAGACAAGAGGAGGCTAAAATGCTCGGATCCATAGCAATAAATTACGAAGTGGATCAGCAGGATTTACCCTTCTACTGCCCGACATCTAAGGAGGCGGCCGCAGATCGAGATAAGCTGATGCGACTAGTGATACCTGAAACGCTTCAACAGGATACTCTACATCACTATCATACGAGTCTACAGGGCGGTCATCAAGGGATCGGCCGTACCTATGATCGGATCCGTGATCACTTCCACTGGAGAGGTCTATATCGCAGTGTACAACGATATGTAGGAGAGTGCGTCGACTGTGAGACCGGAAAGGGGAGACCTCGGATCCAGGGCAAGTCACCTGGCAACCTTCAAGCGACGTACTCATTTCAGATCCTTGCCATGGATCATATACCCTCGCTCCCTAGATCCTTCAACGGTAACACCGAATTGCTGATCTTCGTGGATCTGTTCTCAGGATACGTGAT